GTACATTGATAATTTACTATGCAGTCAGTATCCCGAAAAAAAACAACGTATGGATGCAAAACGCTTAGTGGTTTCGGCTGACTGCTGATACGTGCACTTTGTCTCAAAATATCCCGGATAGTTGTTTCATTACCAATCATACCACATCTCCTTATTTTTATATATACGAAAGCTTTATTCATATTTTTTGGTGTATTGATGAATGTGTAAAGATACATTTTAAAATACAGCACAAGAGATGCAGATTATATAAAACTTATAGGTCGAAGACATACTGACAACGCCATGGCAAAAACTTAAAAACGACCAAATGACGTACAACAGTCTATAAAACTTAACTATAGCATACAAAACGCAAATATTTAAAACACATAAGAAGCACCCAGACAGTCAAATAGAAATTAAAAGAATAAATAATTTGTAAACTAGGCCTACAGTTATATTTTCTTATCATCTAACAGTAAACATAGGTTCTGGTATTATGTGATAAGTCATTTTTTCATGCAGACCCAGTTTCATTGATACTTTGAACTTAAAGTGGTTTTATGCATATCAGCCCAGATTATCATATGTGTGTAATTTTATTAAACAATTCACCAATATACATTCTAAACAGGTTAAATTCAATTTACAAATTCAGATCTACTGGCATTCAACACCCAATTACTTACTTGCTGTATATTGCTAACTTTGATTGTATATTGTCAATCCCTCAACATCGTGAATACGCCATGCGAGGTGTTTGCTATGTTTGATACAGGGTGGCGGCTTCGAAGCGTAGAACAAAATCCAGGTAAATGAAAGTATAAAATTTTGTTGTTGAAAATTTTAAGTACTAAATTCCTAAATTTGTACTTAACTCCGTTCTACGGGTAACATGGTTGTTTGATATGAAAATAGGATAAAAGCTTCCGAAAATTATCACATTATAAGTATTCGTAAATGGATATGAAAAAACCTAACAAGGAATAAGTATTGGTAAACGGACCGAAAGTCGCAGTACAAAAGTTTAAATTAATTATTTTACAATTGTTTAAATATATGAGAGAAAGTTCTTGACAAATTGACTTTATTTATAGATAAATGTATTTAGTTGAGGAAATGATTAATTCGCCTTCAAATAGTTTTTTTTTTTTTATCAAAAATTTATAAAAAGGAGACATTTTTGAAAGCATGAAACCAGTTAATTACCAAACCACTTTGGCAGATTGTTTTCTTAACAATCATTGTTCAATATTAATATTAAAAAATAAATTTTGTTTACAAGTCCGTTTCCTTTTAAAAATATTTCAGAAAAATGCTGAAACGTTTTTACAATTAAGTTTATTCAAAGAAAAAAATATCCCAAAACTGAATCGTGACTTTTTACTTGTTACTTTATGTTGTACGTTCTAAGTGTCAATCCTAGCAAACACAAATTTGGAAATAAAATCGATTACAATGTAATTTTATAGAAGAAAAAAGGGGGGTTAATGAACAAATTATTACTATACACTCATATACTTCTAAAAAGATTTGAATTTGTAAGCTGTCTATAGATAATGTTAAATCATTTCAAGAGTTTCAATAAATTTAGGAGAAAAAAAAGATTATAAACAGTTTAGTTTTCGTCGCCTACTACTATAAAAAATAGTGATTCTTTTTGTAGATTTGGTTCTTCAGTTTCGACTCAAAATTTCCTATTGAAATTGTTAGAAATATTTAGGAGAAGATTGTATTTGTAATTTATGTAATTGTGGTGATATTGGCGACGCGATTCATTATATTATAGCAAGGATTTGTACAAATCCTTGATTATAGAATGTTCGACAATAGACGAAAGTAGACAAACCCTATTTAAACGGGGTTTTGATATCCAAGAACGCCACATTATACATCGAATAAGATCTATATTTTTTAACGTTTTCAAATGAAATAACTTGAATTGAAAATTTCCCGACTATGTGAAGATTTCTTATATTTCGAAATGGCTTCAATTATTACATACAAAATGAAAAATGTATTAAACTTCTTTTTGTAAAAACAATATTCATGTATTTTTAGAAACATAAGTTATACAGATGTTCTCAATAAAAAACAATCATTAATATACTTTATGGTGATATTTATAATGACTGGCAGACTGCTATTTAAAAGTGCGGTCATATGCCTCAGTGTTATAGGTGACTGCAATTTAATAAAATTGAAATTAAGATTTTTATTAATATTTTGTATATAGGTATCCCTCAATGATGTATAGCATGGACAGACTGAGAAGAAATGGTATTCATCCTCAATTTCTTGTCTACTGCAGGATAGGCAAATAACATAAGTTTATTTGCTACTTTTTTTCTTCTTTATTTTATATAAATGATTTTTTTTTCTTCAAATTTTAACATTTTTTTCTTCGAAAAATTTGTAGTGTTGCAACAGGGAATGGACACAGATACTTAACTATATTTAACGAAATAAATTTTGTGTAATGTCATCAATCTGTATTACACATCGACAGGATGTTCTCTAGAAAACTATGGTATTTCTAAAACGTTATACACACCCCAGGGTACACGCACTGTCGTAATGGAAAATTACTGCATGCTTTAATTACCTGTAATCAGCCATGCAACAAATCCGTTGACTGACCATGTCATTACAGTTAATTTTTTTTTTCCTTAGATCAAAACGGAATATTTATTTTAACTTTAAAATTTAAAACTTTAAAAAGTATACTTTGACATAATTATGAAGTAAAAGAATTTAACAATTTAATAATTGGATTTTTCCAAAGATTAAGATACAATTATTATATTTATTATTCTAGGACTGACAGATATATCACAGGCACTTGTCTCAGATTTTTTCCCCTATATACCTTAATTGAAGTATATAGATTTTTTTTCTGAGACAAGTGCCTGTGAGATATATACATGCATTATATATTAGTGTGCTAACTGTGCTGGGTGAGATATATACAGACATATATACTTGTAAATCAAAATGATTTACATAATTACTGGGAAATAATATAATGTTTCAGTTTTGTTGATGTCACAAATACACATGAATTATTTGATGATGCATGCTGGAATTTCTTATCTAAATGCATGACTGTGACTACAGACATATATCCATTTACAGATTCTATAATTTCTTGAGAAAAAAAATCAGGAGGGAAGTCAGAGGGAAGTGAAACAAACATTTTAAGCTTTTATTAAACATTGTTGGGAAAACAATAAAATACGACACTGAGTTTTGAAAAAAAAGTTTATGATTGGTCTTGATTTTTTTTAACAAAGATAGAAACAATTTTTTGTCCCAAGAAAAAAAACCAATGCCCCCTTTTTTAGCCACACCGACACACGCCGATGAATGGAGAATTTCAAGTAGGGTCACAAGGTCACATTTTAAAACTTTTTCAGTCGCCCAGTCTCAAAAAGCAATTTTGACTGGCTTTGTTTTTAGTCGAATTATATTTTTGCAGGTCAGGTTGCAAAGTGGCAGGTCGGATTTGACCATGTTGACAACGGTCCTAAAAATATCCGAAAAAACGTTGAATCAAACGATATGAACCTACACAGTTTTAATTATAAGACTGACACACACACCATGCAGTGTGCTAACTGTGCTGGGTAAGGTGCTGTAACTTGATATACATGTATCATTAAGTTACAGTACTGTTAGGATTTGCCTGTCTTTTTACAGGGACTTTCTATACTATAACTGTTAGTATAGACTGACCCTGGCTTGAAAGTATGGTTCTCTGCTCAGCAACGGTCGCGTGATTGTAGCAGTAAAATACATCGGAGGGTGGGGACGGGGAGGGGCACTTCAATACTTAATTGATAGGGGTTTCGCTTGGGTTCTATTACCCCACCCTTTTCATATAATTTAGATCTTAAAAATGTATACCTTTTCATATATTGCGTCGGTAAAATTGTAACCTTTTCCCATATTGGTTGGGTTTCGTGGGGTGTGTTGGAAAAGTGGAATATTTAAGGCTAAGATTCTGTGTGTAATGTTTACTTACGGCGAGACTTTCGGCTGTGAAAAAATGACAGGGCTTTGCATATACAAGTACATATACAAGTAATTGGAACTTTATCGACCTTATCATATATTTCTGACAGTTTTCCCTACCTATTCCCATATTTTCAAGCTAGAAAAAGTGACCTATTCCAGCGGCACGTCCTATCACCTTGTATATAGGAAGTGCCCCCCCCCCCCCCCCCCCGAGTAATATACGCAAATGTATAAGTTAATACATTAATTCAGGAGCACAGTCTGTCTTTAACGTAAATAACTTCGAGATAAATATGTAAGTTTACTTTGCTTATCGATGTTCCTGAAATTCAGATTTATATTTATTTGTGAGACCCCCGTCACTATTTATATTCACTCAAGAGTCACTCAAAGAAAGGGGTTCTCCGTTACTGGGAAAATCTTATCTGATTTAGGATCAATTTATTGGTTACACTCCCCTATCACCAGTGATTCTTTGTCGTAAGCTGACATTTTGAAAAAGGTATATCGACGATACTGTTGACTATCAATTTGCATGATTAGTTACAGATGTCGACTCGGACTACTGCAAAAGACAATAATTCAGTTCACTGATTTAGATTGTATAGTGGTTCGGTTAATTCTCCTTTTCCCCAAACAAGTAAGAATAAGGTTACATCTTTAGGTAGTCAAAATGATTATGACGTCTTGCAAGACTATTTTAATTTTTTTCTATCCATCTATCTTCATATTTCCGCACTCAGTCACAACTTTGACTATTATGTGGCCAGAAAAAAGTTAAAATAGCCTTGCAAGACGTCATAAATTTTTGGACTAATCTTTTGGCAAATATGGTCGTACAACAGGGGTTTAATTGTTACAATTTGCCGGATTTTCTATCCTTACGAACCCTGAAAAAATAACCAGGCCAGGTGATGAAAAATCTGTGTCCACTTTTTATCCCACCAGAACATCAAAAGGTTGTCTCCTTATGGAGTTTCCATTTGATTTTTATGGGGGGGGGGGGGGAAGCTAGGATGAAATTTGTAAAAAAAAGCAGGACAGGAGTTTTGAGTAAAAAAAAAAGGCAGGATGAGCAACATGGCAAAAAAAAAAAAAAGGCAGGATGACAATTTATGTAAAAAAAAGTCAGGATAAACTAATAAAAAAAAAAGGCAGGATCGAATAGAGTGAAAAATAGAAAGGCAGGACAGAGATTACAACTTAAAAAAAATGCAGGACAACATTTTTCATCCTACCCCCCCCCCCCCCCCCCCATAAAAATCAAATGGTAACTCCCTTACACCTACATGACAAAAACATATACAAATATGGTATCATTGGACATTGCCAATGTGACGGCTCTTCAACAGAAACTAAAGACGTAGAAGTTAACAACTATATAGGTCACCGTAGGCTCTTCAACAGAAACTAAAGACAGAAGTTAACAACTATATAGGTCACCGTACAGATTTCAACAATGGGCTAAAAAGCCAAACTGCGTAATAAGCTACAAAAGGCCAAAATAGATAGACGATATCTGACAAGGGTAGAAATGATCAGAATGTTGAAAAATAAAATCTACTGTCCATTTTAAATGGCATCAAAACTGGCAGCTGACTCATAGGAGTTGTTGCCTTAAATACAGATTTTTACCTTTTTTTTTTCTTCATATTTCTTGAATTTGCCTTTTTATCTCTAAAACTGTAATATTTAAAGAGAAACTTACATTTGTAAATCTTATTAAAAAGTTATTGCTTTTCAATGATGATTTTGATCCAGTTTTTGCAAAAACTTGGAAACTTTAAATCTTGGGTAAACTCCTTATATTATACTGCCTGGTCTCGTGGTAGCGTGTTAACCTCAAGTGCAGAAGGTTGTTTATTTTGAACCCAACAGGGTAAAACCAAAGACTTTAAAGTTGGTATTTGCTGCTTCTCCCCTAAGCACGCAGTATTATTAAGGAGTAAGAGCAAATACTGGTTTGTTCAGAGTCAGAATTATGTGTCAAGGTAAGGTGACATGTCTCTCTGAGAACTAGTGTAAGAGATAAATTAGTCCTTGTAAAAATTGTCTGGTCAGACAAATATAACTAGTATAAAAAGTCCATGGATACAGAATTTACTAGTATATTTAGTCTGATGTCAGTAATTTATGTCCCCAGACTAATTTTCCTAGTCCAAGACATCACTATTCCTAGGTAAAAATGTCCAGTTTTTATACGGCCGCAAAAAATTTTTGCGGTCGTATATTGGTATGACATTGGCGTCTTCGTCCGAAGACACATTGGTTTTCGCACAAGAACTTTAGTTAAAGTGAATGGATCTATATGAAATTTTACCATAAGGTTCAATACCACAAAAAGAAGGTTCGGAATGATTTTTGGGGTTATGGTACCAACAGTTAAGGAATTAGGGGCCAAAAAGGGGCCAAAAATAAGCATTTTTGTAACTTCCAGACAATAACTTGTGTGTTAGTGTATGGATCTCTCTGACATTGTACCACAAGGTTCCATATCACAAAGAGAATGCTGGGATTGATTTTGGGGGTAATTGCCTCAAAATTTTAGGAATTAGGGGCCAAAAAAGGGGCAAAAAACAAGCATTTTTCTAGTTTCATGACAATTACTTGTGTGTAAGTGTATGGATCTTTCTGAAATTGTACTACAAGGTTCCATATCACAAAGGGAAAGCTGGAATTGAGTTTGGGGGTAATTTCCCAAAACGTTTAGGAATAAGGGGCCAAAAAGGGGCTAAAAATAAGCATTTTTCTAGTTTCCAGACAATAACTTGTGTTCAAGTATATGGATCTCTCTGAAATTGTACTGCAAGGTACCATACCACAAAGGGAAGGCTGGGATTGATTTTGGGGGTAATTGCCTTAAAATATTAGGAATTAGGGGCCAAAAAGGGGCAAAAAACAAGCCTTTTCTAGTTTCAGGACAATAACTTGTGTGTAAGTGTATGAATCTTTATGAAATTGTACTACAAGGTTCCATATCTCAAAGGGAAAGCTGGGTTTGAGTTTGGGGGTAATTGCCCTAAACGTTTAGGAATTTGGGGCCAAAAAGGGGCAAAAAAACAAGCATTTTTCTAGTTTCCAGACAATAACTTGTGTTCAAGTGTATGGATCTTTCTGAAATTGTACTGCAAGGTAACATACTACAAAGGGAAGGCTGGGATTGAGTTTGGGGGTGATGAATCATAAGGGGATTAAAAAAATGGGGGGGGATTTTTTTTTCCTATTTTTTTTCTTTAAAATTTTCCATTTTAAGTTGGTTATTTTTTATTTATGTATAAAAGCAAATAATAATGATATGATTGATTTCATCAAAAATTGAAATATTGGGCTTCTTTGATATGCTGAATTTAACCGTGTATTTAGATTCTTAATTTTTGGTCCCCTTTTCAAAGTGGTCTACATTAAGGTCCAAAGGGTTCAAAATTAAACTTAGTTTGATTTTAACAAAAATTGAATTCTTGGGGTTCTTTGATATGCTGAATCTAACCGTGTATGTATTTAGATTTTGCATATTGGACCATAATAGGTAAATTAAAAAATTTTAAGTTCTTAGACCACATTCATTCTGTGTCAGAAACCTATGCTGTGTCAAATATTTAATCGCAATCCAAATTCAGAGCTGTATCAAACTTGAATGTTGTGTCCATACTTGCCCCAACTGTTCAGGGTTCTAACTCTGCGGTCGTATCAAGCTGCACCTAGCGGAGCATTTTATTCTAATACTGTATGCAACATGTCAAGTATATTTGGTGTATGAAAATTTTTAAGGATGTACATGTTAGTCTGGCATGTTTTATTCGACCTTGACCTCATTTTTATGGTTCATTGCTCAATGTTATTTTTTTGTTTTTTGGTCAGTTTTTCTATTTTCTTATTTTCAAATTAGCAATAGGTCAACTATATTTGGTGTATGGAATGATAGTAAGGTGCATATCATGATATGTTTGACTCAGAAGTTTCGTCTTACCTTGACTTTATTTTCATAGTACATTGGACAATGTTTAGTTTTTGTGGTTTGGTCTATTTTTCGGATACTGTAAGCAATAAGGCCCCTATATTTGGTGAATGGAATGATTGTAAGATGCACATGTCTGTCTGGCATGTTTTATATGACCTTGACCTCATTTTCATGGTTCATTGGTCAATGAAAAGTTTGCATTGTTTTGTCAGTTTATCATATGCTTTAAGCAACAGGTAAATTATATTTGGCGGATGTAACGATTGTAAGGTGTGCATGTCTGTCTGGCAGATTTATATAACCATGACCGTATTTTATGGTTCTTTGGTCAATGCTAAGTTTTCTTGGTTTTTTCTTTTTATCAGATATTATAAGCATATGTCTACTTGTAAGTGTATGGAATGACTGCAAGGTGTCATATAAAAATAAGAAGTCTGTCTGCCAAGGTTAATATTACTGTGACCTCATTTTCATAGAATATTGACAATATTAAACAAAAAAAATGATGAGCATGACAAGATATACAAATGATCCAAAATTGTCAGTTGCCTACTAATTATGTAATAGTAGTTATTGTCATTAAATGATAATGTTTACCCTTTTATGTGTAGGGCAAGAACATTAAAGATAAAGGGAAACTATAAACAAAAGAGATTATCAACAAAAATAGATTTCAGACGTCAACAAAGCCTAAATGGTAAGTCCACTTCTATAAAAGTTATTGCCCTTGAATAATGATTATTATGAAAATAAGATGTGGTATGGTAAATGAGAAAACTATCCACCAGAGTTCAATTAAGTGGATGAAAGCAATGCAATTACTTATTAGAGGCCAATGATGACCTGTAAATAATGAGAAAACCCATAACCTATACATGATATAGTCATCTATAAAAGACACCACAAACAAAATTTGGAACAAAACATCAATTCAAACTTCAAATATACCAGACTAATTCATAAAAATGAACAAGTTATGAAAAAACAAATATGACGGACGTGAACCAACATCAACCACTGAACTATGTACAGGCTCCTGATTTCGGACAGGCAAAATATGGCAGGGTTGATATGAAAATAAGAAGCGGTATGATTGCCATTGAGACTTTTCTCCAATAAGGATAAAATGACATGAAATTTAACAAAATTAGTTCGCTGTACAGCCTTCGACAATGAGCAAACCCTATACTGCATAGTAATCTATAAAAGGCCATGAAATTCAAAAAAACAAATGTAAAACAATTCAAAAAGGGCATGGCGTCATTTAAAAAGGGCATAATGTCTATCCATACTAAACATGCTTGGGGGATACACCACAAAGGCGAAAGCTAAGTGCCTGAGTTTTGCACAAAACAATAAACAAAAAACAAATATGATATATAGCAACAATTGACAACCACTGAATAATAGACCCCTGACTTGGGACAGACACTTACAAAATGTGGCATGGTTTAACATGTTTGCTGGCACCAAATCCCCCTCTAATTAAGGACAGTGGTGTAAGTGTCAGTTCAATATAAAAACTATAAAATCAGTTGAAAAGGGTTTTTTTCTGCTCTTGGGTCAGGTTATTTTTATACATTCCCGTTTTCATTCTCAATTTTATTAACTCATTAGAATGCAACAAAGCAGAAAAACAGCTATCAAAAACACAGACCGGATGTGGCTGGACATTTATTCTTTCCCTGTAACAAAAAAGACTCAACATACAGATCTATTAGTACTCACAGTTACTGACAGCTAATTCATAGCAAATATCAACTAATAAAATAAACATTTTGTGAGCACCCATCCCACCCCTAACCTAGGACAGTGGTTTTAATAACAGCACAAGCTTTGAACAAACTGTAAACATTTGTTGCAATTGGCTTAACTCAAAAGACTGCAACAAGGCACAAAAACAACTAATATGAAAACCATAGACACAAAGCACTGAAATAAGAGTACTTACAATTTTAAATATTCAAATGAAAGTTTTATCAAAATGTACATAAACATGATAAAGTAGCCATTTTATTGCTGTATTTCTCTTCATTTATAATTTTTGAGTTTTGTGTATTTGTAGGTCAGACATCTTGGTTTTCATGATCATCATTCAACAGGTCAATACTGAACAGAAAACTTAAAGTTGATATTTTTCTATATAGTGTGACTTTTTTATTAATTTGAAATGGAATGTGTTTTTTTCCTACATAAGAAAGAGGAAATTTCAACATAATGACTATAAACAAAAAGGAGTCATATTATCATGATCATAGATGCACAAGAACTAAATCATGTAAATGCAACAACGTAATTATCAATTGAAAGAAGGGAGGAATGAAAAAATATATTAGTAATTTGTTGTCCAAATGAACTTGCTTTGTCCACTCATTTAAATCGCTCCATCCAATAAAGATGTACGGAGGAGGATTATTGAAGAACAGATTGCAAAAATGTTTTGTCTAAGAATTGTAGGAATATTCTAGTGGATGAAATAATTTATTTACTTGACTCTTATGTAGTGGACTGAATAATTGTACATAGCAAGCTGAAACAAGAAAACTAAAACTTAACAGGAAAAGTGTTTATTTTATAAATTTGCAAATATAAACGTAATATTATGAACACCACAAAGGTATAAGATTCAAATTGTTTGCATATTCATGTATTGCAATGGAACTATAACAAAGAAAACTTTACCTCATTAAAAGAGTAAACTATTAACTGTGCTTTGTCAATTTATTCAGTCAGTTTTTCAGTTCTATTTTTCATAATAAAACAAACAAGACAAAGATTTCAAATCAATATTTTTTTCTTTTATTAAGACATGTCATCATTTTATTTCAGTTAAAGGATTTTATTTTTTAACTTTAAATATTATTATACTTTCCAAAATAATAATAATCTTTATTGTCATATAAACAAATTAAAAACATGTTTGTGACAAAATGAAAAAACCCAAAATACACTAATATTTATATTATAAACTTTTTACTACCAAACAGAATTCATTGTAACATACACATTACTGTATATTAATAATTTGAATTCCATAGGATTTTATTTTGTCCCATGGGATATTAAAAATCCCATGGGATAATTACAGTCCCATGGGATTTTTTTGGTCCCATGGGACAACAAATATCCCATGGGACTACAATTATCCCATGGGACCCAAAAAAATCCTATGGGATTTAACCAAAATCCCATGGGATAATGGTCAATCCCATGGGAATTGCCGTATCCCATGGGATATTGAAAATCCCATGTTTTTCTAAATCAAATTACAAAATATATATAATAATAACAGCAGAAAAGCAATGAAATTATTGAATCCCATGTAATTCTGCACATTTTGGTTATATACACGACACTGTAGGTGTAAGGAGAGGCGGCGGCGGATTTGCAAATGAGTGTTTTGCAAATTAAAAGTGTCCAGTGTTCTGTATTTACCTCCATGGTTAACTGTTGTGTTTTCATGTGATGATTCTTTATCAACGGGACTAATATCATTTGCTGTGGTAGCCTTTGTTAGCACTAGAAAAAAACCTTGAAGACTACTTGAAATGTTTATGGTGATACACAGCTTGGGTTCGTGTTTCTCAAACTGTTTTTATGCACTGATGCATTATGTTGATAGTTTTTATTAGTTTGTCAGTTCTTCTTCCATAGGAGTTTGAATGTCCAATTAGTAGCTTCTGTATCGGTGTTACACAGGTGCCCCTAGAACGGAGGAAATAACTCAGAGAAGAAGAAGACAACCTAGAGCACTGATGATTAAAACATTTCTCAGTGGTGCTAGTTTGTAGTATTTTTTTAATAATTAGTGAGAGTGTTTTAGTAGTGCTAATTGGCCGTGGGCCGAGTTGTCGGGCAGTACGTCGACTAAGCATGCACAAAAGCGTATAAGACACGGATCAATAACGGTCTCCGAATTTGGATATTTTCTCAAAAATTGGCGTTTTCTGTGGAAAAAAGATTGTTTCAAAGACAAATTTAGGAAGTACAAAACACCACATTAAACGTCATATCACAAATATTTCCGACTTTGTATGAGTTGCGGCTCAATGAAATCGGTCTCTTCCTTTAGTAGTATAGATTTTATCTGTTGAAGATGATTGTGTTGGAACATTATTTGATTGACTCGTTGTATCAGCTATTAAATTATGACTTTTGTTTATGTTTGAAGGCTTTGCAGTGGTAATTTCTGTTTTATAAACGGTAGCTTCCTCTTTATTGAAAGCGTTTGGAATGGTAACGAGTGAATCTGCAGCCATTGCACTTGTAGAAGCTTGCAAATTATCAACTTTTGAAGTCGGTTCAACCTCCAAACTTTTGTGTTTTTCCGTCACCGTTTCATTAGAACTTGGTGTTGTTATGTATAACTTATCTCCAGTTATACTTCTGGATGTGGTTGAAAACAAATTCTCCTAACCCTGTGTATTAGATCTCGGGGTAGTTAACATTGCATTACATATATTTGATTTTGTAGTTTTATCGGACATCGCCGTAAATTTGTCTAGTACTAGTATATCATTCACTTAAATGGTAGTTTCGTCCATAACACTTGGTAAGGTGGTTGTATCCAAAACTGATTTTGTGTCTGGGAAATCGGTTTTGCTACTGTTTGGTTTTAGCATTATCTGTCGTCTTCCTGTACGAATCTTTCAGCTGTCATCCCTTCTGAGGTTGATTTTTCCGTCGCTGTTTTGATATAATTCAGTTTTAATTCTTCAGTGATTTCATCAGGTTCCGAATTACTTTGAAGATAGTTTTCTGATTTTCTTGTTGCAGTTGGCACAGTTGTAAAGATATCTTTGGTATAATAATTTGTTTTGCTATCTTCTAATGTGAAGATATTTGCTATTGTTGTTTTCTCTGGTAAGATTTTTGATTTTCTTAATTCGCTAGTGATGTCCTCTGGTAGGGATGTTGTGTTAGCAAGAATTCCATGTTTAAATGTTTTGTATGGTGTATTAGCTGGTGTTGCTCCAAATGTTAATACAAAAGTATCCTGTGTTTTTTTTAAACTGTGATCGATCACTTTAAATCATTATGTTTTGAACTTGTGGCTGATTCCGTCTTGCTTTCCGATGCTTATACCTTAAAACATGGAAAATTAATTAAGAAATAGAAAATAAAATAGTATTATGTACACTAAAACAATTATAAAAGTATACAAGTAAATAATTATTGAAACCGATACCGCAGGTGCGTAAACACACGCCAAAGCTGCAAAATCATATGATTAGATCAAAACGTTTATATTACAAATTGCGATTACAAAATGACCAAATGACACCGAAATTAACAATTATAGGTCACCGTACGGCCTTCAACAATGAGTAAAACCCATACCGCATAGTCAGTTATAAAAGCCCCGAAATGACAAATGTAAAACAATTCAATCGAATTAGTACTGATGATTTGCAAGCGTAACATTTTATACGTATTTTTTATACAACTAGAAACTAAATATTGTAATGTGTTACCAATTAGGTGATTCAAAACTATTTGAAAAAAAAAATAGAAGTTCTACTTACAACTACAACAACATTAGAAGCAGGATATTATAACACCTCCGGGGGACCTGAGATCAGCCTTGGTTTAAGTGGGACTCATGTTGCTTAAGATTAAGTTTTCATGTAGTGTTTTGTAAAAGGGTGTTTGTCCTTTGCTGTTTATTTTGTTTTGTTTGCCATGATTTTGTCAGTCTCCCTTCGACTGATGCGTTTTTGATTCTCCTTTTGGCATCTTCCACATTTTTTATGATGTAGGCTCATCGTATTTACACATTTGATTGCATTATGATACAAAACAAAATGTATTCTTTTTGTTCAACCTTTAAGTTGTTGAATTTCACCGCGCATTAATTGTGATAGTAAAACGTAATCAATTTTATCGGCTGTAAAAACAAATCACACTAGAAGATATTCGGAGCTTTTTATAACCCTACAAAGAAAATGAGTATACTTTTCAGCGATTTCTCTGAATTTATCATATCTCTGATAGTCAATGCAGTCTCCTTGAGGGTATGTATCGCCCAACTGAAGAATATTATAGATATTCTTTAATTGATTCAAGTACAAACAATAAGCTCCAAAGAGCCTGTTCCGTTTCCCTGGCAATTTTGCATCAAATTGATACCGGGCAATATAGATTATTTAAAAAAAAATAGTAAAAAATCGTTTTTTAGATGAAGTGACTCCTATTCAGAATCGACTGACGATTTTGGTCATGTTGGATATTTGAAGACCTTGAATTATATATCAGGTTCTGCTGTTAACAGTGCCTTTCTGTCTGAGGAAGCTTAACAAAACACAAAAAAAAGATAAAATCTTAACCAAAGTGCAAAATTAGGATTAGGAGTCGACTGACTATTTCTATCACTTGACTTATTCGTAAATCTTGTCCTGCTGATCATATTTATCATTTACAGTTTCTATAATATCTATCACAGTTATGAAGGCAGGTGTTCCGTAAGGGTAAAGAATTACTGCTCAGAATCAACCACCGTGTTCATCCGTGGATTAGAAAAGATATTGTTAAGATAACATAAACGGTACCATTTTAGCTGTATTATGACAATAATTGTCTCTTCAGTGATGCTCGAGGCCAAAATATCTTAAAATCCAAAATAAAATACAAAGGTTGAAGAGCCGATCAAATCAAAGAGGACCTAAATAAGAACGAAATCAGGACTAGGAATCAGATCTTTGCATGAGGAAGATATATTCCTTAATTAAAAGTAATTTCTAAAATTTATAGCAGAAAATATCAATCAAACAATATCCGTATAATGTTTAGTCTCGGTATTATCTAATATCCAATACGGTGACGGAAAACTACAAACAGAGAAAAGGTAAGATTTCTTTTTTTAGATTTGTTATTTGTATGAAATTGATGGATAATTATTTTCGATTGTGAGATGTAATATTTTCTACAACCGTTCTAGACTAATGGAGAAATATGTAAAATTGCACGTCAAAATGATGATTAGAGTGGACCTTACATCGAAATTGTTTAATTTCTCATTACATTAATTTTGTACATTGTACGGGAAGAAACGTACAGAAAGAAAGATCTATTCAAGGAGACTGCAGAATTAGACACTTTGAGTACCTCAATAGTTGTATGTGTATGCATGGAACGAAAGAAATGGGTCAGGTCAAAAATGAAGGACCCCGTTGTATCAATGTAGTTTACAAAATGAGGTCCGGGTTTTGTATTTATAAAGGATCCGGTTATGGATCACAAATTTATGAAAAGCAGCACAGATCTGAACAGTTTCCGTCGAAAGAAATTTAATATACTAGTATATGAAAGTGTGTAAAAGATATAAAAAGTAAAATAACAAAAATATCGAACTCCAAAGAAAATCAAAACGGAAAGTCCCTTATCAAATGGCAAAATCAAAAGCCTAAACACACCAAAACGAATAGGAAAACAACTGTCATATTCCTGACTTGGTACAGGCATTTCCTTGTGTATAATTTTCTGGGAACTTTTCGAAACAAGGAGTATAACACATCTTGCGTTATCAAAACGTTATAAGCATACCTTATTATACTTATCTACGAACTAAGTTGTAGTGGAATACAAAAACATCATAGCATTTATAATTAATTCTGTTATAATGAAAATGTGTATGTATATCTGCATTTTGTACTAGTATGTAATGGCGACTGCATCGAACCTGTACAGGAAATGTACCATTGGTGCTC